TTGGGAAGTTGTTCCGTACACTCCTGGGAAGGTTTCTGGCATAGTACTTCTGTCTTACGATAATTTTATATATGTAAAAAAAATAAAAATGTAATTGTTTTTCTGTTCAAAGCCGCAAAAAATGTGTCGCTATAAACTGTAGTGCCAAAACGGCTTTACCGATTTTAACGAAAACTTGGCTAAAGTCTTCCCCTTGAAATCCTTTTAATTTATGTGTATAACATACTTTCCCGAAAACAAGCTGAAAAATGTTACGATGAATTCAATATTTTATTTGACGATAACTAAAAAAGTATACAATTTTTGACTGATAATACCCATATTTATATGAAGATTTCTGAATTGCTGACAAAAAAAAAATCATTGAAATCGGACGGTTCATTGCAGAGTTATTGAGTTTTAAACATTTAATGCTTTCTCTTCAGAAAAGGCCGTTTCCTTTTGCTTCCTCACTACCGAACGTCGGCAAGCATTTTTTTCTTTTTTTTTATTGATTAATCGAAAATTTTATAATTACTACAGTAATTGAAATTATCATTTGAAGAATTTATATGATTCTCCTTATGTAGATCAGTACTATTATATGTTTTTTAATTTAGTTTTATAAGTTCAACTCAGACTGTTTGTGATGATTATGAATGATGGCGTATTTACTTAGATGATTATGAATGTTCAATTTGAATCATGAGAAAAAAACAATTAGAATTAGTTTCAATTGAAGCCATTTTACAGACAAATTTGTTTCCCAACTTTTTAAAAATGACAGATGTCCTTTGCTACTAATCTACTCATATGTGCTTTCTATTTTCCTTCTTTTTCATTTTGCCAGGCTAAGCCACAGCAGCGTGTGGCCAGGTAAAATAGCAGTAGACGTGGCTTCAAGATTTTTGTAAATCTTCGAGATTTGTTCCTGTTCAGGCTTCTGCCGTTCCAATTTTTTAATAAGGTTCTAATGTTGGCGATGTAATCGAAAATATTTTCTTGATTGCCCTGTGTTCTTCTATCAATTCCATTTTTCAGCTTTTTCTGGTAATCAACAGGAAAGAATGTAGCACAGAAGGCTCTTTCAAAGTCCTCCCACTCTGTCCAATTATCTAATTCTTATTGGCACCAATTGAGAGGTGTTCCTTGGAATAATTCAGGTAAATAGCTAAGCCAAACAGCTGCAGAAATTTTATAAGTCCGACGCTTTTCATTTATCGTTTGAAGAAAATTATCAGCAGAGAGATTTGAACTATTGTCAAATTTTAGAGAAGTTAAGAATTGTAAAGAATAACTCGACGGGAAAATCCAATTGGACATAGCAGCTGGTGGCTTAGATTCTTGATGAATTGATCCAATTTTCTGGTTGTTAGTTATGTTCTCTTCTGTATTCTCTGAGAATGTCGAAGATACTGCCCACAACCAAGGATTACTCAAAAAGAAATTTTTAATCGCTGCTCTTAAGCCTTTAATCTTACTACTTGCTGTGTTTAATTGCCAGATTCTCTTTAATTCTAATAATTTTGCCTTTTTTAAATGATAGATCCAATTTACGTGTGGTTCCTTGACCATTAACTATCATCAAAAATATAGAGAATGAAAATAGTAATAGGAACTAATAGAATAACTGGGCAGATAATTACATACGGCGATACAAAAGTTAATTATGTTTGGTATTTAAATTTAGGCAGTTTCACTACAATTTTATTTCAATATCATTAATCTGAGATGATACATGAAATAATTGGGAAAAAAGAAAATTAAGAAGTTAAATAAATAAACATGCAAAAGATAACACAAAAAATAGTATACTCTTTAACAAATAAATTAGAGATTTAAAAATAGTTCATGAGGCAAAAGGCAACTCATAGTGACAAAATAACTATTCTTATATCACTAAAATTAAATCAATAAAGCTATAGTAAGTTTCAGAGATTAACCTATAATCAAGGTCTGCTTAGTGACTGATAAGATTATAACAATGCACAATCTACTGATTAGTTAGGCTTTAGTTTATCATTTACTTGGCTGCTAACCAGCTTGTTTATGCGTTGCTATTATTGACAATAGTTACACATCTAAACATCTAGAAACGATAGTCAAAATATAAGATATTAAAGCACATGCACATGCTAAAATCTAGACACTAATAATTAGTCCCAGGATACAAAAAAAAGAAGAGTTCTATGTTTTCCAAGGCTTCTTTAATCTTGGTTACAACTTTCACTGTTACTTTTAGTTCCTACATCACAATTTGCTGGTTTTTAAATTACAGATTTTTACAAAAGGCCATAGAGATGAAATGAATCATCGTAGATTTCATTTTGTGGGATCAGAATAGGCATCAGGACAAGATTGACCAGAAAAGCTCAAAACCTTGTTTTCCACATAAATTGTCCTTACAAGCTTTTGCAGTGTGGCTGTCGATGTAATGCAATATTCAGAAGGACCAACTTTCCCTTACAGTGGAAATATTGATACATCACAATGATTCACAAACCAAACAAGAACACCGACTTTCCTTCGTCATACTGACCCTTTAGCCTGCTCCCAATATGTTCTAAAATCTTTGAGAAACTTCTCTACAAGATACTTCTTGACATACTGACAACCGAAAATATAATACCTTAACATCAATTTGGATTCCGAAGACACCATTCATCAATTACATTGAGTGACAGACTACATTGCAACGGCACCATAGCATAATTTATATGCAACAGGTGTATTTATATATGTTGCTCAAGTGTTTGATAGGGGCTTCTTTTCAAACTTAAAACGATACTCCCTCCAACCTATTTATTATCTTATCATTCAATCCTTTCTTTCTGACAGATTCTCTGTCTGCCAAGGCTCAGAACTTTCTTCAATAAGACCAGCCTTAGCAGGATTTCCTCAGGGACCCGTACTCACTCCGCTTTTATACATCATATACATACACAACATTCCTAACAATGCTGAAACTATTACAGTGACTTGCACAGATGATGCAGCAATTCTAATAAGACCTAAAAATCCTACATACACCTCACAGACATTACATCATCTTACAAAACTAAAAGATTGGTGAAAATTCTACTCAAGCAAGACTAATCACAACATATTACTTTTAAGCTTCAACATTGAATGAGGTATTTCCTCCACTAACTATAAATATCAAATCAAGTTAGGAAGCATTGCCTCGGGGCACTCCTTTCCCACAGCATACTCGCTGGTTGTTCGTATTCCCAACAGATGTGAATCGAAAAATAAAGTTTAAAAAAAAATTATTGAATGATAAATGTTTTCATGAAAATTATTTTTTTTTTTTTTATTTGAAAAATAATACATTCTGCCACATTGGAGGGCATTAACATTATGGCTACATTAAACATTCATACAATATATACATACAAATGATAACATAGGTAAAAAAAAAAATAATAATAAAAAAAAAATAAAAACAACAGGAAAGAAAAAAATAGAGAAAAGCTAAATAAAATAAAAATATATAAAACACATTCATACCTATATACAATATTTACATTCGCCCAGAGGATTCCGAGTCATGCTATGACCCCCAAATGTGGAAGCCAAGGCAGGACCCCAGGAGTTTTTTTGACTTTTTTTGAGTAATAATTATAGGAACGGCGATCTGTGGGATGTCTGGTGCGTTGCCATAGCACTCTGGTACGGCGTTTGGTTTGGATTAACTCGAGGATGTGTTGAGGTAACTTATTTTTCTTAGGAATTATTGGAGAATGATTAGGGGAGGAAGCAGTCCAGACTGCTTGTTGAATGGTGGTGGTAAAGGAGTGAACGGCATTATCAAGGTCTTCTGTGGTTTTCAGGGTTATTCTGAGGTCAATTTGTTCTGAAAGGATTTGATGGAAGAGTTTCCAGTTGACTGGACCTCTGATAAAGGACGGTGGAGAGGGTTTAGGAATAGGAGCTAGTGATACTTGGAATATTAATGGACAGTGGTCTGAGGAAAGTTCATCGAGGCGTGCAATGGAATAGTTGTGGAAACCTAAACCACTGTGGATGAAGAAATCAAGGATATCGGGATTTCGGTTAGGATCAGTGGGCCAGTAGGTAGGTGAGGTCGGGGGAACTAGGTTAAAATGTTGGGAATTGAGTGCAGACAGCAGTGTTCAGCCGCGAGAATTCATGGAAATTAAATGAGAAACTTTAAAAAGTAATCTCAACTTGACAAATAAAAAATGTATAGTGTACAGGATTGTCATGGTTTATATTAATTGTCATTTTTTTGTATTTATAATTAAAGTAGTATTCATAAGTTTTATTAAATTAAAAAAATTAATTTCAACTGAAAATAGAGTTGTGTGTAGTGTGTTGTGAGTGAATGAGGAGTGAGAACAGGTTAAGGATTAAACAAAAAGTAAATTATTGAAATGCTTAAATAATAATATGTTATCACTAATAACGATTCACCTAAATATCCTTTTTTTTTTTTCATATTAGATCTCTTCATTAATACTTATGCTACTAAAAATATATTGTCAATTGTGAACATAAGTACTGCTAAGAAATTAGTGAAGTTGCTTACCAATTACTTCCGATGACACATTATATTGGGCTGGGCTTGTTTGTTTTTTTCAATTCCCTTTCTTTCTTTTTTTTTTCTAATAAATGCCTTTTTCAGATTAAGAATTTTAAATTCCTCAAAATCATTTTTAAATTACTTTTTAAAATGAAAACTTCACTATGTTCATACACACGTGTAAACATTGATTGACCTGTTCACTATATGTGATACATAGTTTATAGTAAACATCCATTATAAAGGATAAACTTTGACGGTACTCTGAAGTTAGTCATAACTGATTTTGAACAATTTTAACCTTAATGTCAGAACAACAAAGTTTTTAGAGATTTAGCTTTGTACACATCATCTATTTCAAAAAACTATATTTGATTTTTATATTGATATTCAGTTAACAAATATAATTTATTGTTATTGTTAAAATATAGAAAGGTAAATTTATAAATTTTAAATCTTAAATCATTATTTTTAGCATTAGAAACAGAAGGGCTGTTTAGACGCTCAGCAAATGTTGCTGTGGTAAAGGAATTACAAACTAAAGTTAATCAAGGTATACCTATTGACTTCCAAGGAAATGCGCACATAGCTGCTGTCTTGCTCAAGACTTTCCTCCGAGAACTCGAAGAACCTCTGATGACATTTGATTTATACGATGAAATAACACAGTTTCCAAGTATGGTTCTTTGTTTTTAATAATGATTTCCTTTTTAGTTTTTATTTATAAAATAAGAAACATAGTATTAGAACTAGGCAATAAGTATTTAAATATTACTTTAATTCAAGGAGTTTAACTAATTAATTTATTCTGATATGGAATAATGAAAATACAAAATCATAATTCTTAGGAGGTGCTTATGTGTATGTTATCTAGAGTCCATTTTTTTGTGAAAATTAGCAGTAGATTGGTGAGCTAGTTTGACACATCAAAATAACTCATTTCTGCCATTAGTAACTGGAAAATAATACTAGACTAATAAAAAGACATTGTTCATTTTTAAGGATTTTGGATGAATTTAGAAAAGAGGCATTCTTGGAGTTAAGGAAGATACGTGTTGATGAAGTTGATAATCATATATGTAGAACAAAAAACAATCAGCTCCTCCAATTCTGTTCTGATAAAAGTGAGCTGATGATTTAATGTTTCATAAAATATAGATAAAAGATATTATTTATAGTTGTGCTCAACTTAATAAGAATAAACAGTTGAATTTGCTTATAGCGATTCTGGATGTAATTATCTTGAGTGACATCTTTGGTTGGTTTTTTATTTCTTGTCCAGTAACTTTATTATTGTTACTATGTGTTAATGCTGGATACAATATTAATTTTTTTTTTTATCTGTATACATTATAAATAGCCACAGGCTTATACTGTCACCTTGTTTAACCAGCTTTGCTGTATTTAAGTAACTGGACTCCTGCCCATTTAGCTAAACTTTTGAGTGTTTGTATTTTGACTTTATAGCATCCCCAGACTTTTTGGAACGATCTTAACTCTGAGTGATTCCCATACTTTGTTTCTTGGAACACAGTCAAATGCTGGTTTTAGGTCGAGGAAGCATAAGTACATTTTCCTAAATCGGTCTCAACATTTCTGTATAACATTTCTCATAGTCTGGAGTTCACTGTCCCAGCCAAGAGGCTTTGTTCATCTCAGTGGCTTATATCTCAGAATAGTTTATTTTTTATTTGTCTAAGGAAATTCCTGTACAGATAAATATAATGGTATAATTAACAATGTTAGATCTTGAGTCTAGTACTGCATTCAAACATAACATTGACAATGTCCACAGCATTAAGTATGCCTTTTAACTTTTATTAAAAGGCATACTTAATGCCTTTTATTGGTATATATATATATATATATATATATATATATATATATATATATCAACACAATAGTATATATATATATACATAACAATTAGTAAAACATTTTTTTTTTTCAATAATACATTTTTTTTTTTTTTTTAAATATTCCAGAGGTATAAGACAAATGACAATATAAATAAGCATTAATATATGTTATATGATTAACTATACCACTTAACAGTTCAATGAACAGCCCTATATGAAATACAGGCTATTTTAAATAGCTAATAAATAAAATGTTGGTGAATAATGGCCTAATTTATATAACAAATAAAATCTCAAGACACCAATTCTAGAAATAATGAATAAAAGATCTATAAGATTCAAAGAAATGTTGTGAGAACATGCAATAATTTATTAAAAGAGCTCACTACTAAACAAGGTAGGCAAAGGTGCAGTCTAAGTCCTCTGCTATTTACACTTGTTCTAGAAAATGCAATAAAAGTAACAAAACAAAATATGAGACCCTGTCAAATGGGACAGTCTGGTCTTTTTTCTCTGTTCGTTTATATAGGCGATTTGATTATGAAAACCAAAACGACTGTATACAAAAATATTTTCCTCCCTATAATGACCTACTCCAGCTAGTTATGGGCTCTCACCACAAAACACATTAATCAGATTCAGGCCAAGGAGATACGATTCTTGTGCAGGATCGAAGGAAAAACTAAGAGAGACCGCATATTTTTTTTATTATTTTTTTTTTTATTGAACGCCTCTGCCGTAGGCTATTAGGCCATTCGGCTCGTGGCAGCCCAATACAACTCCACCATGAATCCTTTTCCATACATCTAACTGTACAGCCTCCAATTTATCATTCTCTTCCATCTTCTTTTTAATTGAAAAGGTTACCTTGAGGGATGATTTAGCAGCGACAATTATTCCTGATGCAACCTGCCTGGATCTCTGCAGTTTATAAGTTTGATATCCCGGTAATTGGTAGAACTGGATATTTTCAGTGGATGAGCCAGCTTCTACTATCCCATATAATTCAGCATCCTCCTTTGTAATAATCGTCTTCCATTCTGTGAATTTGTCAGCAGTTAGGCCACCAGCGTTCCAGAACATAGCCTTAAGCTGTGTGTTGACTGGACCTTTTGGTTTCCTTAATTTTGATGGATTCATATTTTTGTGGATTCTATGATGTTGAACTGTCTTCGCGGCAACAATATTGCTCATTTAGTTATAACCGGAGGGCACGTGTACAATGTACGGACGCGAGCAAAGTTACCCAATTTTTATTAAAGCTTTTTAGTTTAAAGTTTTAACAGCTGTTCCTGCTGTTAAAAACCTATGCGTAAAACCAGTCGAGACTATGATATAGGAAAATTATTCAATGTGGTTTGGTCATGTCTCTCGAATGTTAGAGAACTGAGTGGGCAGGATTGCGTTGGAAAATAAAGTTGAAGGAAGAAGGCCTCGGGGAAGGTCCAGGAAGATTTGGAAGGTGAGTGTGAAGGAGGCCTTTAACAGAAAAGGTATTGACTGGAAGAGAAGTCAGCAGTTGGCCCAGGATCGAGGATTGTGGATTCGGTTCTACAAGGCGGTAGAAGAGGAAATGATTAAGAAGAAGAGCAAAACAAGGAGCATCGAGGATTTTAGAGGTAAGATTGGATACGAGAGAAATTCTATTGTTTAGTGGAGCCTTAAAGCTCTACTCCGTATGTCCATATAGTCCTTCTTATAGTAAAGTATATGAGATAGCTTAGAGCGTTTGTCTAGTAAGTGCTGAAGTAGCCGGAAACGTTGAGTTGTTTCTGTCTGAATATTAAATTTTCTGTCAATTGTTGTGGTCTCTATATATGAAATGGTATAATTTTACTTTTAATTTACTCCATAAGCTTGATCAAAACCATTTTTTAAGATATTGTGATTTTTTTGTTTTAGACATATCAAAAGACGAAAGACCAAGGCATGTCAAAATATTAATTTTAGAAAAGCTTCCTGAAGACAACTACAAAATTTTGAAATATATTATTCAGTTTTTAGCTAAGGTATGTCAAGACACTTCTTGGATTTTATTACTATTTTTTTAAGCCCAGATAAATTTGATTTAACTAGTTTTAATTACTATACTATTTCTCTTTTACGAGTGGAACTAGATGTGCTATAATAGTAAATGTGTTTTAAATTTGGTTTTTATCATCTTCTATTTGTGGATTTCATTTATCCCTAACTTTGAATTGGTAGTGTATCTCTGACTACATGATAATTAATTATAATTACATTAATGATTATTTAAAGATAAGAATGATTGGGGTGATCAATTAAAAAAAAATATATTAAAACTAAATAAGTATACTTTTTTAATTGTGGCTTGATGTTACAGGATTGAAATTTAATTTAATAAAAAAGACGTCTTCCTGTATATTCCTTAATTTTTCACTTTTGTGAAACTGGTTTCGGTCTTTAATCAGGCCTTCATCAGGCTAGGTAAAATAATAAAATTAACAACAACAATAAAAACTTTTGCAAATAATAATAAAACCTAATTTAAAATTTAACAATTTAAAATCCAATTTTAATAAATTAATACACTAACCAGTAATAAACGAGTTAGTATACAGATTTTTACTCTCAAAAAGCAAATTAAAAACCTTTATTCTATGAGATCATCAGTTCACCTCTATTTTTATAATCTTCATACTATTTTAATATCCAAAATGCATCCTATCGAGTTTGACAGACTATGTTACAGATTGGGTGAGGAATCTAATGGATTAAAAAAAATTTAAATTGGAAAAGAAACTAGAAAACTTGGAAAAAGAAAAGGTAAAGAAGAATCGCTTTGAACACAAAATTGTCAACATAATTTCTGTCCAAGAGTAATAAATAAAACTGATCTTCAGCTTAATGATAAAGAAATGAACTTATTAGGTAAAGGTCTGAAATTTTGCCCGAACAATACATTAACTAAAGACAAGTTACTTGAGCTAGCTGCGGTCATTGAATGTGCTGAGCTATCACATGAAAATAAAACATTGTGTACTGAGGCTATTAAGAGGATGTATGCGAAAACGGATATAAGACCTACTAGCTATGGGCATACTATAAGCAATATAAACAAAACGCTTAAAAAAGAAAACAGCTTAATTCTTAAAGCAGATAAAGGGAATTCGGTGGTTATAATGAACAGAGATGACTACATATAGAAATGCAAAGATTTTATTGACAGCTCTGGTGCAAAAAAATATAAAAAAGGACTCAACCGAAAAAATAAACACTTTTGAAAAAAAAACATTAAAGAATGTGATACTTTTTTCAAAGACGATTTTGAGAAAAATTGGTTATGAACCCTAACATACCACTCCTCTATGGCCTACCAAAAATTCATAAAGACGGCTGCCCCATCTGACTAATTATATCTACCTGTGGTAGCTCCTGCTTCAAATTATCGGGGAAAAAATGAGAAACTTGGCTAATTTCAAAGCAACAAGTGCAATAAAAAATTCAATAGAATTAATTGACATAAAAGATATTCCAATTTCAAACTCATTCATTCTGGTTAGCTTCAATGTTGTAAATTTATTTACTAGCATTCCTTTAATAGAATGCGAAAAACTATATGAATTATCTATACATATAAAAATTAATGTATGTCCTTTTGTCCTTTGTATGCATTTCTTAACCATTCATCCGATCGCTATGAAACTTAGGGAAGTTGTTGCATACACTCTCGCAAAGGTTTCTGGCATAGTACATCTGTCCTACAATAATTATATATGTACAAAAAAAATATCGCTATAGACTGTTGCGCCAAAACAGCTGGAACGATTTTAACGAAACTTGGCTAAAGTCTTCCATTTGAAACCCTTTTAATTTTTGTATATCACATACTTTCCCGAAAACAAGCTGCAAAAAGTGTTACAATGAATTCATAATTTTATTGGCCTATAACTAAAAAATTACACAATTTTCTATTGGTAATACCCCTATTTATTTGAAGGCTTTCTGAATTTCCTACAAAATAAAAACAAAAAATGTCATCGAAATAGATAAGAATTATCTCCAAAATGAAACAATGTGTAGCAGCTGTAGGAGTAAAGTGGATTAACATATTTTTTTAAGGAGAAACAAAGTTGAGATTTGTATTTCGCACCTCGATAAACCCTCAAATACCAATTTTCACTGAAATTGAAAAATACTTTTTTTTTTTTTCTCAAATTTTCGTCAAGGGTTAGGAAGCCACAAAAAGTGTGATAACTTAATCATTGCTCCACCTATACACATGAAAATAAGCAGGGATTTAGGGTCACGCTAACTGCACAAAATGCAATAAACCATACCCCCCGTAAGCATATTAGTACTGGAGATAAAAAATGAAAATGCATTAGGAGATTTTCTTTATTTATTCCTTATGAAGACGTTAAATCTAAAAGTTTTTGATATTGTTTTGAAGAACAACCACTCAGCTTTTCTACGATTATTGAATCATTGAATTAGGAGAAAATCCTGAGGAGTTCAAAATTATCTAGCAAATAGTAGACAAAAATATTCCAATAGACAGAAATCCCCACAAAAAAAAAATAATCGAAACCGGATGATTTGTTATAGAAACATAGTTATAGAGTTTTAAACATTTACTACTTTCCCTTCAGCAAAGGCCATTTTCCTTTTTCTTTTGTTATTCATTATTCAAAAATTTTATAATTACTGTAGTAATTGAAATTATCATTTGAAGAAGTGATATGATTCTCCTTATGTAGATCAATACGCAATTATACGCTCTTTTTATTCATTTCCTCTCCTCCCCCTCTCCCCCCCCCCTCCAATGTATTATGCAAGTAGTATGATACATCTCAAATATTTTATTTGCTATTATTTAAAAATATTTAACTTTTGAGTAATATTTATCACCATTTATATTCCTTTTAGAAATCAGTTTTTTATTGATTTCAGTTTATTTATATACGTTGGAATAAGGTTGTGCCGTTTACCTTAGGGTTTCTTTCATGAGTAAGGTTTATTTTTCCAGTACAATTTTTATAATTCTATATTTAATTAAGTTGTTATTAAGGAGAAGCAAGCAATCAATATCTTGGGAGGGATAGGCAAAATCTTTTGAGGAAGGTAGAAGGCAGCTCTAATGTACACGAAATGAACGCTATGGTAAATGGTATAGCTCAATTTTAATGCATTGCCATTTGAAAATCTTGAACATTGACATTGAACAGTATTGTGAAATATTTTGGACTGCATGTGTTGCTTTTACATCCAACTGATGTTGCGTTTTTAATAAATATGTATAGTTTCACCTTATATTTTATAATAGTAGGTATATTAAACCATGCGCGTATTTAAATGCAATGCTATGCCAAAATTTCAAGACAAGTGTGAAGAACTTTCCGAGATTTATGAGTTTGGACAAAGGAACATTTACATTTTTACTTCCCATAAAATAATCAACACAAAGTTAAAAATTAAACAATACATTAAATATAAAAAATAATAATTAAATTAAACATTAGAATATATAAATGGCTTTATATCAAAGACGGATCTCTGTCATTTTCAGAAAGCGGAGATAAAGTCAATTTTGGTTTTATAAGTTCAACTCAGACTGTTTCTGATGATTAAGAATGTTCAAGTTGAATCATGAAAAAAAAAATCATTAGAATTAGTTTAAATTGAAGCTATGTTGTAGACAAATTTGTTTCTCAACTTTTAAAAATTATGGATGTTCTTTGGTATTTATCCACTCATACGTGCTTTCTATTTTCTTTCTTTTCCATATTGTCAGACTGAGCCACAGCAGCTCGTGGCTGGGTAAAGCTAGTTATTATATAAAAGTAAAGTTAAACTTATTTTTATGTGAAGATATAATGGCTCTCCTCCCATTGTGTTTTAAACAAAAGAAGTTGAAAGGCATTTTAATATCAAATTAGAAATTATAAGTAGTAATAATATAGGTAATATTAAGATGTATAATGGTTCCAAAAAAATGATAAATTTATTATTGGACCAAATTAAACAATGCGCATCCATGGTGAACCGGAAAGAGGGAAATGCTTTAAAACCAAAACAAGTATGGTATGATAGAAAATGTGAAACATACAGGAATCATTCGTTTGTACTTCTAAAATTATTTAGGAAATCAAATATAGGTTGGGTGAAAGATCTTTACATAAAGACTAACAGAGAGTACCAATATATATGTAACACAAAAAGAGTACAATATTCAAACAGGATTGTGGATAAGCTAAAAGTAGTTGAGGATTCCGTTGAGTTTTGGAAAATAGTAAATAATGGTCACAGTATTTTCAAAATTTACTAAACCCGCAAATAGTACCTCCCCCAATGCTATATGCCCCTCCATACAAAAGAGATGAAGAACAAGATGCAGATTTTCAATCTGGAGAATTACAAGCCGTCATGATTAGAGCAAAAGACGGGAAACCTCCGGGGTTGAGAAGGGTGCCAAGTGAATTTTATAAAAACAGTCCCACGTCATTTCAAGAAAGTGTATTAGATGTATTCAAATATATATATCAAACGGGTGATGTGCCAGAGAGTTATTCAAAGTCAATTTCATTTCCTATTTTTAAAAAGGGTGACAAAATTTTTGTAAACAATTATAGAGGAATATCTATCACAGATGCAGACTATAAACTGTTTGCAGGGTTGTTATTAAACAGGCTACAGAACTGGGTCCAAAAACACAATATATTAAATGAATTTCAGGCAGGTTTTCAACCCGGATACTCCACTATTGACAACTTATTTAATTTATATAATATTATTAAAATGAAAACCGCTCCGAAGAGAAGAAAACTGTATACATTTTTTGTTGATTTTAGTTCCGCATTTGATTCACCGGTGAGAAGTACTCTCTTTTATAAACTATATGCAATGGTTGTGTCAAAAAAATTTGTTAAGATCCTAAGCAAGATGTTCAACTGTACTGGAGCTTCGGTTTGGACTCCTGAAAGATTAACTGGGTCCTTCAGAACAACAATGGGTCTCAGGCAGGGGTGTGTTTTATTGTTGTTAATGT